TGGGTGTGTGTGTGTGGGGTGGTGTGTGGGGTGTGTGTGTGTGTGTGTGTGTGCGGTGTGTGTGTGTGTGTGTGTGTGTGTGTGTGCGCGCGCGCGCGTGTGCGGGCACCGGGAGTTCTTGTTGGCCTTTGGAAAACCAGCTAGAATCCCCAGGGCCCCTCTCAGGCTATGAATGCCACAGGTGGGTGCTGGGTAAATCCTGACTTCTAGGATTCGGAGCCGCCTTCAACACACTCTGCCAGCCAGAGGAGGCCTAAGCCTGCAGGACTTGCTTCTCTCTGGGCTGGTACCTGTCAGGTTCCCTGGGGAGGGGCTAAAAGAAAGGAACGATTCTTCAGAGCCTAACATTTAGTCTTTGAGCGTCCCATGAGGAGCTGATTTGCCAGGTTTTGTTGGCAGGAGTTGCCAGTGGAGAGACACCCAGGCTTGGGGACAGTGGCCAAGGGAAGGAGAAGAGGGTGTGTGAGTCCTTGGTCCTGAATCCTTGGTCCAGGCTCATGGGCATGGGATGCTGGCTTCTGTTTCCAGTTAATCGTGGTTCGGTGAACTTAGCCACCTGTCTCAGCCTCCCCTCCTCAAGGCAGACTCTCTTCCTGAGGCCTTGGGAGGGGCTTACTACAGGACATTGTCACCTTCTCCCAAGTGCAACCCCTGATCACTGCTCTGTGTCACCCATGCCCAGCCCCACTCTAGAGACTTCGTCCTGCGTGGAAGGTCTTCCACAGCCTGGACATGGCGCCAGACACCTGCTGCTGCTCCCGTCGGGCCCTGCAGAGGAGGCTGCCCTTCCTGGCCTGGCTGCCTGTCTACTCTCTACAGTGGCTGCCAATGGACTTCATCGCGGGACTCTCCGTGGGACTCACAGTCATCCCCCAGGCCCTGGCCTATGCAGAAGTGGCCGGACTCCCGCCCCAGGTGACACAACTGCCCCTCTCCACATCCTGACCCTGCCTTGTTCCTCAGGCAGAGACACCAACAGTGCCGTCAGTGTGTCCTACCCAGTGGCCTCTATCTAATCTCTTAACCATTAAGACCTAACATGTGACTGACTGCCTTTCGGCGCCAAGCTGGTCCTAGATTTTCCAGCTGGGGCCTGCATCATTCATGACTTATGGTGGCTTTAAAAACAACCAGGTACTGGTTGGTGGCTTGTGCCCAGAGATCCCAGCCCTTGGGAAGCTGAGGCAAAAGATGATTGAGAATACAAGGCCAAAGACTGAATCACAAGACAGCAGATTTTAAAAGGATACTTAGGGCTGGAGAGATGACTCAGCAGTTAAGAACATTGCTGCTCTTGCAGAGGACCTGGGTTCAGTTCCAAGCATCTACATGGTGCAGCCAGTAACAATCACTTGTAACTCTAACTACAGAGGGCCCAACACTGGCCTCTGGGGTCACTCACATGGTACACATGGTATATAATTGCAGTCAGAATACTCATGAACATAAAATTAAAATTAATAAAGCCGGGTGGTGGTGGCTCACGCCTTTAATCCCAGCTCTCAGGAAGCAGAGGCAGGCAGATCTCTGCTTTCAAGACCAGCCTGGTCTACAAATGAGTTCCAGGACAGCCAAAGCTACACAGAGAAACCCTGTCTCAAAAAAAACCAAACCAAAAATAAATAAATAAATAAATAAATAAAAATAAGAAAATAAATAACAAAAGCACACGCTTCTTAGACTCACAGTTATAAACACACAGACCTGAGTTTCCAGCAGACAGCCCCCGCCCCGCGTTTGGTAGCTAATGGAAGGAGAGAGCACATTCTCCGGTGTGTGCTGGGGTGCCCCAGTGCAGCGTTGGCGACCTGGACCTCCTGGGGTTGACTGTACTTGCTCCCCAACAGTATGGCCTCTACTCTGCCTTCACGGGATGCTTCGTGTATTTCTTCCTGGGCACCTCCCGGGATGTGACTCTGGGCCCCACGGCTATCATGTCCCTCCTGGTGTCCTTCTACACTCTCCATGAGCCTGCCTACGCCGTGCTGCTCGCCTTCCTGTCTGGGTGTATCCAGCTGGCCATGGGGTTCCTGCATTTGGGTAAGACCCTGCTTTCCTGTTGTGGGAGTGGCTTCATGGCCGCCTTTCCTGGGGTGCCAAGTCCTCAAGGGTGCCTTTCTTTGCATCACTGTAGACAGGGATGAGGTAGTCTCCAACTCTGCTGCATTCTGCACAGAGGCCACAATAGAACACTTGTAGACGCACTGGGGACCCAGAGCCTAACCCTCTCCTACCTTCCACAGTGTCTTCAGTGGAATGAGGTGCCCAGGGTTCTCCTGGAATGCCAGTAACAGTGTAGTTTTTCAGCCTGGTGATCCTTTGCTGTCTGATGAGACAGGCTCTGCCCATGTCTTCCAGAATTTCTGTTCTTACCCTTCACCTTCAGTATTGATTTTAGACCATAAACCCCATTATTCTTTTTTTGATGGGGGGGGGTAGTTTTGGTATTTCAAGACAAGGTTTCTCTGTATCCCTGGCTGACCTGGAACTTGCTTTGTAGACCAGGCTGGTCTTGAACCCAGAGATCCGCCTGCCTCCCGAGTGCTGGGATTAAAGGCATGTGTCACCACCGCCTGGCCTTACATATAATTTTTTTTTACATATAGTTTTTTTTTTTTTTTTTTTTTTTGGTTTTTCGAGACAGGGTTTCTCTGTGTGGCTTTGGAGCCTATCCTGGCACTTGCTCTGGAGACCAGGCTGGCCTCAAACTCACAGGGATTCGCCTGCCTTTGCCTCCCGAGTGCTGGGACGAAAGGCGTGCGCCACCAACGCCCAGCACAGATAAATTTTTAAAAAATAAATCTTTAGGAAAAAAAATGTCTACGGAGCACGTCACTGGTTGATCTTTAGCTGTAGAATGTGACCCCAGTCCCACTGTGTCACTTCTCCCTGCCCATGCCTACCCCTTCTCCTGAAGTTGAGTGGATTAAATGCCCCAGTCCTTTCTTGGCCACAGGGTTCCTACTGGACTTCATCTCCTGCCCTGTCATTAAAGGCTTCACTTCAGCTGCCACCATCACCATTGGCTTTGGACAGATCAAGGTAGGCCCTGTGTCCATCTGGACTCTGCCCCTGCGATTGTCATGCCTGGGAGTAAGACCAAGGCCAGTCCTGCCTGTGACCTGTAGGGGCGTGTAGCCCTTTGTTCCCCAGGGAACTTCTGTTCCCTAGGGATGGAAAAGCACCTGGTGCTCCAGGGCTCACCTAGGGGAGGTGTTGAGTGGTGGTCGGGTTTCCAGGGCTCTCCTAGGGGAGGTGTTGAGTGGTGGTTGGGTTTCCAGGGCTCACCTAGGGGAGGTGTTGAGTGATGGTCGGGTTTCACGGCTGGTAGCCTAGGGCTGGCTGCTGTGCCCCTGGCTTTATCCCATCTGTGTCTGGTGCCTGATGGACTCCCCAGGGTGCTCCTGCCCTGTCTTGACAAACACATTAGGAGACTTGTAGTTGCTAGCCAACTGACAGGCCCCAGAAGCCATCTCCCAGATCTGACTGCGATGCCTGGCTTTGCTTGTGGTCTCTCTGCTCTCCATTTTTCTTTGCAATTTTTTTCTTTTTTTTTAATTAATTTATTTTTTACATGCCAATTCCAGTTCCCCCTCCCTCCTCTCTTCCCACTCCCCCAACTCCTCCTCTCTTCCCATGTGCTCCATGGAGAGGGTCAGGTCTCCCCTAGGAAGTCTACTAAGTCTGTGCCATCATCCAGTTGAGGCAGGACTAAGGCCCCTCTCCACCCCACACCCCTGGGTCTAGGCTGGGCAAGGCATCTCTCCATATGGAATGGGCTCCATTAAGTCAGTTTGTTCATTAGTGTTAGGTCTTGGACCCACTGCCAGTGGCCTCATATATTGTCCCAGTCACACCATTGTCACCCATCTCAAGGGAGTCTAGTTCAGTCTTATGCAGGTTCCCCATCTGTCAGGCCTGAGTCAGTGATCTCTCACTAGCTCAGGTCAGCTGACTCTGTGGTTTCCCCATCATGGTCTTGACTCCTTTGTTCATATTCTCGCTCCTCCTCACTTGGATTGTACTCCAGGAGCTTGGCCCAGTGGTTAGCTGTGGATTTCTGTATCCGCTTCCATCTGTTTCTGGAACAGGGTTCTAGCTTCTTTGGGGTTGTGGATTGTAGGCTGGGGAACTTTTGCTTTGTGTCTGGTATCCACTTATGAGTGAGTACACACTATATTTGTCTTTCTGGTTTTGGGTTACCTCACTTAGGATGTTTTTTTTAGTTCTGTCCATTTGTCTGTGAATTTTATGATGTCACTGTTTCTTGCCGCTGAGTAGTACTCCATTGTGTAAATGTATTACATTTTCTTCATCCATTCTTCAGTTGAGGGGCATCTAGGCTGCTTCCAAGATCTATTACAAATAATGCTGCTATGAACATAGTTGAGCAAATGTCCTTGTGGTGTGAGTGTGCCTCCTTCGGGTATGTGCCCAACAGTGGTATTGCAGGGTCTTGAGGCAGATTGATCCCTAATTTTCTGAGAAATTGCCATACTGATTTCCAAAGTGGTTGTACAAGTTTGCACTCCCACCAGCAATGGAGGAGTGTTCCCCTTTCTCCACATCCTCTCCAGCATAAGCTGTCATTGGTGTTTTTGATGTTCGCCATTCTGATCGATATAAGATGGAATCTCAGAGTGATTTTGATTTGTATTTCCCTGATGGCTAAGGATGTTGAGCATTTCCTTAATTGTCTTTCTGCCATTTGAGATTGTTCTGTTGAGAATTCTCTGTTTAGATTTGTACCCCATTTTTTAAATTGGATTGTTTGGGAATTTGATGTCTAGTTTCTTGATTTCTTTGTGTTCATTACCATTTTTTTAGTGCCCTAGGGTTGTCTTTTTTTCTGTTTGTTTTGGAGACACAGTTTCCGCTATGTAACTTTGGAGTCCTCTTTTTTTATTTTTGTAAACTGTTTGTAAGATATCTACAAAAAGTACTAAAAATTCATGTCCTTCAGTTACCCAAGGGTAACTGAATTTCCTCTGTCCACTGCCAGCCCACGGGGATGGAACTGGGTGCTGGCGTAAACTGTGCACCCAACAAGCATGTGCAGAATGGAACTGAACTCTGTCCTGCACTTGGCAACTTGGGCCCCTCATGGCATACTCAGGGCCATTCCCCAGGCTCGTGACCTGTGTCACCACCCCAGGACTCCACAAGGCGTGCTTCCCAAGGGCAGGGGCTGCTCCACCTCTCTGGTGCGGGCTAAGAAATCCAGGTTTGGGATATGGGTATGTGTGTGGGGAGACTGACCTTTGACCTTTTCTTCACTTATTTTTTTTTCTCTTCTTTCTTTCTTTCTTTCTTTTTTTTTTTTCATGCTGACTGCTAAGCACTAGGTCCACTAGGTCACACTTTCATGCATCTAACTCCCCCAGACCTCTAGACTACAGGCTTGTTCCTGTGTCCACTTTAAAACAAGCAAACAATTTAGCAAGGTGTGGGTGAGTGTGGTGAGGAGGTGTGTGCACACTTGTCAGGGTGTGCCCGGGCCTTTTCTGCGAGGACCATCTTTATTTGGAAAACAACATAATTCCATTTTAGTACACAAGCATATTTTTAATTTTCCCTTCCCTCGTGAGAACGGAGTGGTCTCTTTGTGATAATAAAGCCAGCAGTGGGATCCTTCTTTGCACCCCAGTTTTGCAATCCTGGCTGCCCACCAGATTTTAAAAACACGACCTGCTGCTGGGTGGTGGTGGCGCACGCCTTTAGTCCCAGCAGTTGGGAGGCAGAGGCAGGCAAATCTTCGTGAGTTCGAGACCAGCCTGCTCTACAGAGCGAGTTTCAGGGCAGTCAGGGCTGTTATACAGCGAAACCCTGTCTTGAAAAATCGAAAAACAATAAAACAAAAACAAAAACCCAACCAACTAAAAAACCCCATGGCCTGCAGCATTCTGACATGCCTGGGACATGAGCTCACCAAAGCCCAGAATTCACCTGTGTTTACTTACCCAGAATGCATCTGGCTTTACTTACTCAGTAGTTCCCACAACTCAGTGTTTGCAGCAGGTGTCAAGCTAGCACAGCTCCTACTGGACCTCAAGTGATAAAGAACAAAACCAGGGAGCAGAGCCCCTTTTCCTGAAGGCAGTCAGCACCCACTCCCTTGGAGCCCGGAGTGCTGCCCAGCCATATGTAGTGTTGTGGCTAGTGCGATTTTTCCTTCGGCGTGGTAGGGGCGGTGCTAGGAGTGACGGACATGACTTTGGACCAATGTCTATATGTGCTCAGAGGCAGCCCTGGACTCCTGACCACACAGCTGTAGATCTGGTTTTCCTGCTTTGGGGTGTACCGACTGGCTTTTGTCTTTACTAAGATAACCTCCACTCCCCTGACTGATTAGCTGTTAGTCTCCTGGAAGCCTTGAGGCAGCATGGCCTTTGGGATTGGGGTCCAGCCCTGGGGACTGGGGTCCAGCCGGGGACTTGAGGAGCTTCTGAGGGGCAAGTGTGAGCAGATGACTCTGGAGGGCTTCTGAGGGGCAAGTGTGAGCAGATGACTCTGGAGGGCGCTTGTCTGATGGGCAAGTGTGAACAGATGACTCTGGAGGGCGCTTGTCTGATGGCTGTCTCCTCTGTTTGAACAGAACCTGCTGGGATTGCAGCGTATCCCCCGGCAGTTCTTCCTCCAGGTGTACCACACCTTCCTCCACATCAGCGAGACCAGGTACTTCCTGACCCCTTCCCCACCTGCACCTCACCCGGGTGACGTTTGTTCTGTCTCACAGGGACCCTTGGGAGCAGTGCTGTGCCAGGTGAGACATGCAGACAGACGCCCTAGTCAGAGCATTTTAGCAAGCAGCATGGACAGCCTCCATAGAACCTTCTTTGTCAGTGTCTCAATCCCGAAGTTCTTAGTGAGGCAGAGAACCCCGACAGCACCCAGAGCTGATGCAAACAGAGAACAGGGCCAGCGGGCCGGCGAGGCCAGTGAGCCATGGAGAGAGCTGGGGCACCCACAAGAGGGCTTTCCTTCAGAGAGTTAGATACCCTTCCCAGCAGCCCAGTGGAAACCAGGATGAATGGCCTGCCCCTTATGCAAGGAATTATTTGGGGAGCCACCCAAGCCAAGGGCAGTCTGCTGCTGCTCCGTAGGGCCTGAAGCCAATGGTAGGGTGCTTCCTGTCTGTCCTGGTGGAGGCAGGGAAGTGATACTCCGGTCACAATCCACTACAGATAGTGCTGTAACAAGTGTCACTGACTGTGCAATCCCAAGCCCTCCAAACTCTTGGGAACAGGCTAAGCAGCTACAGGCTGGAGGACATGTGACTGAAAACTGGGCCAATAATCCAGTTACCATGATGATGAGGGGCTTCTCTCCGCCCAGCCCTCAGAGGGGTGTGTCCTTCAGAGGCAGAGAGCTAGTTATATGCTTATCTGTGATCCTGACATTCAGAATGCTGAGGCAGGAGGATTACAAGTTCAAGGACTGCTCCAGCCGTATAAGAGACCCTATCTCAGTAAAAGGAAAGAGCAGCCACAGCAGCCGGTAAGCACAGTGCTGCTGAGTCAGGCTCTGACTGGCGCTCTCTCTGCAGGGTGGGCGACGCCGTCCTGGGGCTGGCCTGCATGGTGCTGCTGCTTGCACTGAAGCTGATGCGGGAAGGAGTACCTCCTCCCGACCCTGAGACGCCCCTTTGTGTGAAGCTCAGCCGTGGGCTGGTGTGGACTGTCACCACAGGTGAGGGGACCTGCTGCCAGAGGAGCCCAGCCGGCTCCACAGAGCTGTGGGCGTAGGCTCGTCAAACCCACAGCTTAGCTGAGGACACATGGCTGCAGATAGTTTTCAGACTTAGGTGGTTTTGCCCCACCAGGGATATTAGTGATCATTATGGTTGTCACCGCAGTGTTGTTGTTGTTTGTTTTGTTTTTCGAGACAGGGTTTCTCTATGTAACAGCCCTAGCTGTCCTGACATTCACCCTGTGGACCAGACGGTTCCACTGCCTCTGCCTCCTGAGTACTGGGATTAAAGGCGTGTGCCACCACTGCCTGCCTAAATGTAAATAGTTTTAAGTCAATAAGGTATATCTTCTGATCACCATGAATTAAATAAATAAATAAAAAATAGCTGCTGGGTATAGTGGCTTTAATCCCAACTTGGGAAGCAGAGGCAGAGCAGATCTCTGAGTTTGAGGTCAGCCTGGTCTACAGAGAGAGTTCCAGGACAGACAGGGCTACACAGAGAACCCCTGTCTCAAAAAAACTAGAAAGTAAAATTAAAAAAAAAAATCAACAGCAAAACAGCTGGGCGGGCAGCATGTGTGGGGTTAGAAAGTAAAATTAAAAAAAAAAAATCAACAGCAAAACAGCTGGGCGGGCAGCATGTGTGGGGTTCCACCAGGTGGGTCCCAGAGATCAACCCCAATCCTCTGACTTAGTGGCGAGTGCCTTTGCCCACTGAGCCATCTCTGCAGCCCTGGGCCACGGTATTCTTGTCAATTCCTTTTCCACTTGTCAATTATTGAGAGAGGAATGCAGACTTCAGGCAACGGTTTATTTTCCTATCTATGGTTGTCTCTAAAGATCTGACACTAGGTGCATGAACATGTAAGGTGGGTTTTGTTGTTGTTGCTTCTTGAAATAACCCTTGGCTCTACTGTGTCTCTATAAGGTGAGGTTTTTGTGGACGATATCTTAAGGGGGTTTGTTTCTAAGCTCTGTGGCAGTCTCTGCCTTGTTCTGGTGGGAATTGATGGGGTTCATGTGTCTTGTATCCATGGGTTTGGCTCTGCTGTGTTGTGCCATATTAACACACCTGGTTTTTGTTCTTTCATGTTCTACCCTTCTCTGGAATCGAACACTTTACGATTCCGTTTTATTACCTTTTGGTTTATTAGTTCTGTCTAGTGTGGTTGTCCAAGGTGGTGTTTCACGGCTCTTTAGGGTTTATGGTACGCCTCTTTTTCTTACAACTTCATGAGTGACTTGGTAACTTGTCTTGGAACTTTCCCCTGCCAGCCTTGATGTCACTGTGACCGTACCTTTTCCTTGTAAGCCTATGAAAGTCTGATGGCAGCTGTTATTATTTCTACTTTAGACCTGCATCACTTTTAAGGGGACCTGCACATTAAAGAAAAGCCATTCATTTATACATGGTCACCATCCCTGGTCCTCTTCCTTCTTAGTTTCTATGTGGTCTTGTTTTCCCTCTGCACAGAGCTCCATTGACAACGTCCTGCAATGCCGGCTTGCTGCTCAGTTCCTTCAGCTGTTTTGGGGGAGGGGGGTGGAGACAGGGTTTCTCTGTGGCTTTGGAGGCTGTCCTGGAGCTCACTTTGTAGACCAGACTGGTCTGGAACTCACAGAGATCCACCTGCCTCTGCCTCCCGAGCGCTGGGATTAAAGGTGTGCGCCACCAATGCCTGGCATCCTTCAGCTTTTTTTTTTTTTTAAAGATTTATTTATTTATTATGTGTACAGTGTTCTGTCTTCATGTTGCCTGCAGGCCAGAGGAGGGCACCAGATCTCATTACAGATGGTTGTGAGCCACCATGTGGTTGCTGGGAATTGAACTCGGGACCTTTGGAAGAACAAGCAGTGCTCTTAACCACTGAGCCATCTCTCCAGCCCATCCTTCAGCTTTTTATGCCTGGAAAATTTTCTAGTTTGCTTTTGTGTTTCTAAGATAGTCTTGCTGGGTATAGAACATATATATGCATATGAATATATATATATATATATATATATATATATATATATCTTCTGGCCTTCATTCTGCATTGCTCCAACGGGAGTACACATGAACCTTTTTCTCCTCTGCTTTTAAAATAATCCCTCATTGTTCACTTGTTTATTTGTTTATTTATTTGTGGGCAGGCTCTCACTGTGTAACCTCAGCACCTTATACAGCACAGGCTGGTCTGGTATTTGCTGTGTAGCCGGCCTCCTGATTTGCTGTGATTTCAGGCAAGCATGCATTCTCCTTGTCACCTCCCAGTGTTGTGTTTCACAGGGCCACATGCTCACGCCTGCTCATGGCCACATTTACTCATGCCGAAGCTTTCAGGCTGCAGTGGGGGGTTGTGGAAGGGTAGTGTCCCCTGACTGAGATGTCTGTGCCTCGAATACCTTCCTTTTGTCATTAAGACTGTGTCTTGGGGCTGGAGAGATGGCTCAGTGGTGAAGAGCACTTGCTGTTCAAGTCCCAGCGTCTACATAGCGGTTCAGAACTATAACTATAGTTCTGGGGGATCGACTGATCTCTTCTGACCTCCTCGGGCACCAGGCACACACATGGTACATACACATGCATGCAGACAAAACACTCGTACACATAATAAATAAGTCTTCAAAAGCAAAGAAGGCTGCCTCTCACCAATATCCCTCCCCCTTTCTGTCCCAGCTCGCAATGCCTTGGTGGTCTCCTTTGCAGCCCTGATTGCTTACTCCTTCGAGGTGACAGGCCATCATCCTTTCGTTCTGACTGGAAAGATAGCTGAGGGGCTCCCTCCTGTGCGGGCCCCACCCTTCTCAGTGACCACAGACAATAAGACCATCTCATTCTCTGAGATGGTGCAGGTAAGCAGAGACAAGACCAGTAGTGGGACTGCTCCTGAGATGGCCCCCGGGCCGGATCCTCAAGATGGGGTGTCTCAGGAAAGTGGGGAAGAAATGAGATAGCACACGTGTCTTTCTGCCTTGAATCCCTTCCTCCTTTGGACACCGGGGAAGGATGCATTTACCAGGTTCTTCTTAGTGTCTCTCTTTTCACCCTGAGGTGGTGTTTCCTCTCCAGTGTAAATCCACACTGCTGCAGCCTGGGCAATGTCTGCCTCTGCTAGCCACCGAGAAGGAGCAGCCTGCTGTGGCGGGCCCCTGCTTGGAAAGAGCCTTCCTGAACTCAGGGAAATTACTCACTGTGCCTCTCTCCTCTAGAACATGGGGACTGGACTGGCTGTGGTTCCTCTGGTGGGCCTCCTGGAGAGCATTGCCGTGGCCAAATCCTTTGGTGAGATACCCACTGCCTATAACTCCCTCAGACACACATAGCCACACTAGCTCACTCTAGGCTCCTGCTTCCTGGTGTCTTTGCCTATTCTAATTTTTAAAATTAGAATGTTAATACAAGTAATATGTGCTCATGCTTTAAATGAATTGGGGGAGGGGAGGTAATGGGCATCTGTAACCGAAAATCCAGAAGACTTCACAGACTGAAAGGGAGCCAGCATGGCCCAGCTGCTCTCAGAGTGCAGTCTGCACGTGTCTGCGTCACTTCCAGCTCCCAGGGTCCCGACGAAGGACTCTAGTGCACTGTAAGAAAGGCTCTGCTGTGAGGGACCACATTAGGATGTGATGTTCACATGCTGGCAGCCTGTCCGTGTGGACACAGGAGCCCTGCTGTGGAGCCCCTGCTGGTCTGGGGTGTTGCCTGTGTGGACACAGGAGCCCTGCTGTGGAGCCCCTGCTGGTTTCTGGGGTGTGGATGCTCTTGGGATGCTGGTGCTGAACATGGCATTTGAGGAGTGGGGATGAGATGTGTGCTAGGTACCATTATGTCCCCAGCATAGCCTCTTATCATAGGCACTGGGCACCTCATTGATAATAGTGACTTGGAATCCAGGAAACAGTGAGATGTGGTTTTTTTGTTTTTTGTTTTTAAAGATTTTATTTATTTATTATGTATGCAACATTCTGCTTCCATGTATATCTGCACACCAGCAGAGGGCACCACATCTCATAATGGATAGTTGTGAGCCACCATGTGGTTGCTGGGAATTGAACTCAGGACCTCTGGAAGAGGAGTCAGCACTCTTAACCTCTGAGCCATCTCTCCAGCCCTGTTTTTGTTTTTTGTTTTTTTGTTGTTGTTGTTGCTGTTTTAAATTTTTTAAAAGATTTGTTTATTTATGTATAGTGTTCTGCCTGCATGTACACCTGCAGGCCAGAAGAGGGCACCAGATCGCATTACAGATAGTTGTGAGCCACCATGTGGTTGCTGGGAATTGAACTCAGGATCTTTGGAAGACCAGCTAGTGTTCTTAACCACTGGGCCATCTCTCCAGCCCAAGCTGTGTTGTTTTTAATGCAATTTGTTGAACTGCAAGGTTTTTTTAAAGATCAATTTAATTTAATTTATTTGTGTGTGCGTGCATGTGTGTGTGTGCATGTGTCTTCATGTGTGTGTGCATGTGTGTGTGCATGTGTGTGTGTGTGTGTGTGTGTGTGTGCGCGCGCATGCATACACACCCACATGCACACATACACAAGTTCAGATGCCTGCAGGGGCTAGAAGGTGTCAGATCCCCTGGAACTGGAGTTGCAGGTGGCTGTTGTGAGCCACCTGACATGGGTACGAGGAGCTTAACTTGGGACCTCTGCAAGAGCAATAAGCTCTCAACCCTGGGACATTGTTCCAGCCCCAGAATTTATTTATGTGTTTGTTTTTGATGCCAGACCATACTATGTAGCCTTGACTGGCCTGGAAGTCACTGCTCGACAAAGCTGGCTCTGCGCGCACTCACGGAGGTCTGCCTGCCTGTCTCCTGAGTGCTGGGGTTACAATGAGCCACCGCATCCCCCTGAAAAGTTTTAGTTTAATCGTAGGAAAGGCTGGACTTTAAACTTCAACTTAGTACTTGGCTCACTAAGTTCCCAAAACTTTGACCCCTCATTTACTCCTCTGGTTCCGCACATATCCAGTGCATACCCAGGGCCTTTCTAGGTGGGCCCTTAAATCCTTAGCTCACCCCACCAGAGTTGATTCTTTTGTTTTTGTTTGTTTGTTTTGGTTTTTGGTTTTTGGTTTTTGGAGACAGGTTTTCTCTGTGTCTTTGGAGCCTGTCCTGGCACTCGCTCTGGAGACCAGGCTGGCCGTGAACTCACAGAGATCCGCCTGCCTCTGCCTCCCGAGTGCTGGGATTAAAGGCGTGCACCACCAGTGCCCAGCCAGTCGATTCTTCCATCTCTGCATCATCGGTGTCTGTGTTCCAATCTGTACCATGGCAGGTCCTCTTCGCTGTGGGGACAGGGAGAGTCTGAAGACTGAAACCAGGGCTTGGGGTGGAGTTGAGTGCTGCAGTGTTTGCCTAACATGTCCGGTCCAGGGGCTAGCTCCAGCAACACACACCATCACCAGCGAAAATAACACATGCTTTCACAACCACGCACTCCAGCCTTCTGCTTGATCTCGGTTGTGCCTGAACAAATTCCTATCCAGCGTTCCAGCACTTCACCCTGTACCCCAATCAGACCGTCCTTAAGATTTATTTGCTGGGCATGGTAGTCTACCACTTTCACCCCAGCACTCAGAGGCAGAGGCAAACAGATCTTTGTGAGTTCGAGGCCAGCCTGGTGTTTATAGGGAGTTCCAGGCCAGCTAGGGTCACACAGTAATACCCTGTCGCAGCCGCCCCTCCAAATTTTAATTTGTTTTTGTGTGTGTAAGAGTGCCTATATGTATGTGTGTGCACCACATTGTGCTGTGCCTGTGGAGGCCAGAAGAGGGCGCTGGAGCCCGTGAACTGGAGTCACAGTTTCGAGCCACCGGGTGGGAACTGAACCCCAATCTTCTGTGAGAGCAGCAAGTGCTGTTAACCACTGAACCATCTCTCCAGCTCCTCCTACTTTTGGATTTTTTTTTCTTTAGCAGTTCTTAGTTTAGATGAAGCGTGTTCAGTTTGTGCATGTTTTATGTGTGTAAACTCATCCATGCACCTTGGTACCACACGTAACTTGTTCTGTACATCAGTGACACACGGGTTATATTGTCCTTTCTCTTCAGCTTCTCAGAATAACTACCGCATTGATGCCAACCAGGAGCTGCTGGCCATCGGTAAGACCCCTTCTGGTCCCAGTGCCTCTGTGTCTGTCTGATGACATCAAGTGTGATGTTTGTGCGGGGAGAGGCCTTTGAAATCTCAGCTTGACCTGTCCTTAGGTGTCCAGTCAGTCCTGTGCAAACCCTCCCCTGTGGCCTGTTTCTCTGCTGGCCAAGCCCCTGCTGTGCCCACCTAAAAGCTAGAGCCTTGACCTCCTGGGGAGGGAGCTGGAGGGTGCCAGGTGTTCTCACAGGTGAGTCTCTTGAATGCCTTCTCTGGAAGAACAGGTGGTAATGGGGCCCAGGACGGTCCCTCCAATTTCCCCAGTGCGACCTCCCTCCAGGCAAGGACATGTGGGTCAGTGAGGACTCAGGTGGGCCACTGGGGTCAGTGTCAGGATTAGTAGCTCTTTCTTTGTCCCTACAAATGAATGCTTGTACTGACATGTTACGAAACAACACTAAAAGTCTTTTTGTTTGAGATTTATTTATTTGTATGTGTTGGGAGTGTGTGTGTATAGTGGAGGTCAGAAGAAGTCACCAGTTCCCTGCAGTTACAAACAGCTGTGAGCCACCGTGCAGGTGCTAGAAACAGAAGCTGGTCTTCTGCGAGAGAAGCAAGTGCTCTTAACCACTGAGCCATTGCTTCAGCCCCACACTAAGACTCTTGAATTTGGTAATGGAACTGTTTTTATATTTTTTTAAGATTTTATTTATTTATTATGTATACAACATTCTGCTTCCATGTATATCTGCACACCAGAAGAGGGCACCAGATCTCAGATCTCATAACGGATGGTTGTGAGCCACCATGTGGTTGTTGGGAATTGAACTCAGGACCTCTGGAAGAGCAGTCAGTGCTCTTAACCTCTGAGCCATCTCTCCAGCCCCCTGGAACTGTATTTAATATGTTGTGGGACCTACGCTTCCCTACCTGGTCCTCTCACCCTTGTGAATGCCCATGTGAGCCTGGAAACCACCTGTGCTCTTTCTCTAGGAGGGGCGGCAATGCCCAACAATCCAATCACAGGGTTTGACTTGAGGTCCTTTCCTCACCGAATGAGTGAATGGAGCCCACTGAGGTGGGGTCACCTGCCTCGAGCAGAAGAAATCCACAGACACCCCATGCATGTCCCAGCAAGTCATCCAGCTGTGGTTTGTCAGGCACATTCCCACTACATCAAACACTGTGTGTCTGGAGGCCGGGGTTGGAACACTACCAACATTTGTTACTTGCTACCAACAAGTAACAAATAAATAGATAACAAACAAGTCAGTATCAGCAAGGACTGCCCTGATGGCCATGGAGCCCCCAGAGTGCCAGCCAGATAGGAATAAGCATGACAGAAGGATGGCCAGGATGAGTTTGGTGGAGGGGGTGCTGCTCCCGGGTTCTGTAATGGACTGTGCAGTCTCCTGCTTGTCCGTGAGCCGCAGGCCTATGTGAACCCTGCAGGCTATCCAAGCACACGGAATCATCTCTGTTGACTCCAACACAGACCTGTGCCCAATCTAGCACCACCTGGGGTCAGTGTGATCCTGTGTAGCCTACACAGTCCGACTTTCCTTAGGGCCCCCAGCTCACAAATGATGACATGGAGACTTATTAATCGTGAGAGCTTGGCCTTAGCTTAGGCTTTTCCCAGCTAGCTCTCATAATGTAAATAAATCTGTTTCTGCTAATCCACATTCTGCTATGTGTCTCGGTTGTCTCTCCTCTATCTCATATGTCTGACTTCTGTAGTGTCTTGTTGGCGTCTCTCTAGAACCTAGTTTCATCCTGAGTTCTTCTCTCTGCCCGGAAGAAGCCCAGCCTATTCTCTCCTGTCTAGCTATTGGTCATTCAGCTCTTTATGAAACCAATCACAGTGACATCTTCACACAGTGTAGAGGTTCTGGAAAATCTAATAATTCCATAAAAATAGAGTAGAATTCTGACTTTTGAATGGCATCATAATGGCTTTGAGCCATTTTATTTCTTTTCCCTGCCTTTCCTGATTTATTTCCATCAGTATAGTATGTGGGGGCTCCAGAAATTGCTGTTCCTTGTACAATGAGAGGAAGGATCCAACTACTGCTTTTTATAAACTGAAGTCTCTTGTTTTTGAGATATTTGTTGCTAATCGCTCTCAAAATATTACTGCAAGCTCTTTGCCAATGTTTAACTTCTTTGGCAAGGTTTACCTTTGTTAACATTCCCGGACTGTCAGTGCGGACAATCTCCCGCAGCCCTGTCCAGACTCTGCAAAGCCTAATGCTGCCCTCACCCCTTACTCTCCGGGGCCTGGACTTGGCTCTGTGACCCCAGAAGGGCTGGTATTTAAGCAGTCCCTAATCTTTGGGGCTATTCTTTTGTGGGTCTACCAAGCCTTCTAATGACTCTTGGTCAGCCCAGCTTAATTGTGGATGTAGGAACAGAAGAGGGGGGGATCTTAAAGGAATTGGGGTTTCTGGTTGGTATTTTAAGGTAGCTTACCCACCTTGACTGAGGAGCTGTTGGCAGCTTATAGCTGCTGGGGACAGGGAGTTGTTTTTCTTCAGTGGTATGGCCACTGGCCAGCTGCCCACGCTCCGTGTCTAAGCAAGACACGTTACACCTGACGTTGGGGATGACGACTGGCTTCCTTACATTCAGTGCTAGGGAAGTTCCAGGAACCGACTTTGAACCTGTAGTCGCTGGTATAGATCACTGTAAAGGTTCCCAGGGGGATGGATGTTGGGTAGGCAGAGTATGGTAAGTGGGCCAAGATCTTAGTTCCAGGGTCCAGCAGGGCTGTGGTCCTGGACTTCATAGGTTCTGGAGTGTCACCTCAGGAAGGCACTTTGCCAGCTGTGACCTTCGGTCCCTCAGTTTGACTTGGCATTCACAGCAGCCAGGTCTCAGATGCTCAGATGGATGTCATCCCCATGGTTACTGATACTGTCCCTAAGGTGTCCTGAGGCCTCACATAGCAAGGCCTGAGCCAGATTTTACTTTAGACCCAGAACAGATGGGACTATGATCTTAGCACTATGATCTTATTAGAGACAGAAGGCTCACAGGTTCAGGGTCATTCTCAGTTGTATATCAAGTTCATGGCCAGCCTGGGCTACATGGAACTTTGTCTCAAAAACCAGAGGCTAGAGAGGTGGCTCAGTGGTTAAGAGCACCAACTGCTCTTCCAGAGGGTCTGGGTGCAGTTCCCAGCACCCACATGGCAGAAACACACATGCAGGCAATAAATAAATAAATAAGTCAATGCACATAAAAATAAATAAATCTTTTTAAAAAAGGCAAAAACCAGTAGGGTTATGATGGCTCATGCCTTTAATTCCAGCTCTCAGGAGGCAGAGGCGGGTGGATCTCTGTGAGTTTGAGCCCAGCCTGGTCTTCAGAGTGAGTGCCAGGACAGCTGGAGCTACAGAGAAACCCTGTCTCGAAAAACTAAGAAAAAAGGCTCTCCCTCCATCCTTGCCCTGTGTGGTTCTGCATTTGGCCCCCTCCTCCTGCCTTTTCCCCTTCTATCTGATGTCCCTGCCCCTCTTGGTAAATTCCCGTTCTCTCCCCAGGCCTCACCAATGTGCTGGGCTCCCTTGTCTCATCTTACCCAGTCACTGGAAGCTTTGGGAGGTGAGTGCCATGTTCTTTTCTCTCTGTGCATTTAGGGTCAGCTGGGAGCAAAGACCCCTTTTCCTCCTGCCACACCCTTAACCTTAAAACGTTTCCTCCTCCTCCCCATTAGTCCTTTAGAAAGCTGTCCCCTTGCCACAGTGAGGAAGGTTACACCTGCCCTCAGTACAGCTCCTAGCATCCCTGCCCTGCATTAGTGGTAGAAGTCCCTGGCCCATCCAAGTCCTCCAGGCATGCTAGTACCTGAGTTAATTCTAAAAGAAGTGAGGGGAGAGCCTGACTCAGCAGCTCACACCTTTAGTCCCAGCACTTGGGAGGCAGAGGCAGGCGGATCTCTGAGTGAGGGTCAAGGCCAGCCTGGTCTACACAGTGAGTTCCAGGACAGCCAGGACTATATGGGGAGACACTGTGTGTGTGTGCGGGGGGGGGGGGGGGGGGGTGGGGTGCGGGGGGGGCTGAATTGAACTCAGGACCTCAGGACCTCTGGAGTTTGGAGGCAACCTTTCCTGGAGTCTGGAAGATGGGATGGGGAGCCCCCATGGCTGAAAGAGGAACTGCACTCCTCAGCAGGAACTTAGGATGTGGGGGCAGAAGAGGGGAGATCTTAAAAAAAATTAAGGTTCTTGACTGGCATTTTCGTAATAATAAACAGTATTCGTTCGGGAAAGCAAGACAGCCCACCCACCCCTGGCTGAAGAACTGTTGGCAGCTAATGGCTGCCGGGGGACAGGGAGTCATTTTCTTAGGTGGTGTGGCCAGTTGTGAGTGGCCTGTGCACACCCACGCTTATACGAGGAACCCTAATCAAACTCGGGGCGTCAAAACACAGGACATGAATAAGGAGGGAGACGCGCTGGGAAGGGAAAGGAGTCCAGAGGAATGGGGGAGGGGACGTGATAGTCAGGAATGGGGGAGGGGCTGGCGGCAAGACAAACTTGTCTAAAACTGTCAGAGTTAAAAAAAAAAAAAAAAGACAACCAGGGAGATTGAGGCCAGTGCCCTCCAGCTGTGCTAACGTCTTCACTTAGAGGGAGCCAGCCACCTGGTGACAACTCCAAACTGCCCTTACTTCCATCTCCGGTCTCACGGGAAGGTCACCCCAGTATAAGGCCAGACAGCTCCCTGGGGACTGACAAGTTTCTTCCTGTTGTCTTCCAGGACAGCCGTGAATGCCCAGACTGGGGTGTGTACCCCAGCAGGCGGCCTGGTGACTGGTGAGCCCCCCACCTTCTTTACCTTGGGTCCATGCAGTGGGAATGGGGAGAAGGGAAGGAACCCACAGGTCTCTGGCTACATAGGCCAATTCCTGCCAAGTCTGTGTGGGCCCACAGCTGTGTCCCACTGCACACAGGGCCCTTTATACGCCAGCTTAGGCTGCTTCATTTTGTGGGTGCCCGCCCCCAGATGGCCCCCTCCCCCACAGGTGTGCTAGTGCTGCTGTCTCTGAACTATTTGACCTCGCTGTTCTACTACATTCCCAAGTCTGCACTGGCTGCCGTCATCATCATGGCTGTGGCTCCGCTGTTTGATGCCAAGATCTTCAGGACACTCTGGCGTGTGAAGAGTATGTATGCGTGCATTCAAGGCAGGCAGCCTCTGACACGGTGTCTGAATGCCAAGGGCGTCTTTTAGTCCCCTCCCAGCCTGCAGCCCTACTTTGGACTAGAGCTGGGGCACTGTGGTACAAAAAGCTAGGAAGCAGGACCGTCACTCAGGGTAGCCTCGGGGACCAGCTGGGCATTGGTCCTTGAGGAGCTAAGCCCAGTGGAGACTGGGTTTCTCCCGTTCCACACCCCTCCCCACTCCCCACATTCCTTCCTTTCTCTTCTGTGGGTGGGTGACTGCCTGGCCGTCTCCCCATCTCCTAATCTGAGGGTACCAGACCCAGGAGTTCCTTTAGTGGATCAGAAGTTAAATTCCCCTTCTTCCTCTTGGTCACAATTACCAGATGAAGGCACGACCAATTGTTCTGTGTGGGTCTTCCTGTGAGTCTCCACATGTCATCTTTAAGATAGCCTTGGAGTGTGTTACTGTAGAGTGTAGATACCATAGATGCTTCCAGAGGGAATGAGGCTCTGGAGAGTGGACATCTCTGGGGTGGGTGTGTCTAGAGGGTGGGCATGTCTGGGGGTGGGCGTGTCTAGAGGATGGGCATGTCTGGGGGTGGGTGTGTCTAGAGGATGGGCATGTCTGGGGGTGGGCGTGTCTAGAGGATGGGCATGTCTGGGGTGGGCGTGTCTAGAGGATGGGCATGTCTGGGGGTGGGCATGTCTGAAGGATGGGCATGTTGGGGGTGGGCGTGTCTAGAGGATGGGCATCTCTGGGGTGGGCGTGTCTGAAGGATGGGCATGTCTGGATGGGCGTGTCTGAAGGATGGGCATGTCTGGGGTGGGCGTG